GCCATTGCCAGAAAGGCAGTAGTGTTCCAACTTCCTAAGGCCAATTTTGCCTATATACTTGTACCAGTTTAATTGGTCCATGATGCTGCACTGATTTGATTAAACTGATGCAGTTTTGTCTGTATGTAAACCAAGGCTGGGTGCATTTAACCCAATGACATTTTTTCTAATATTTTTCTTCTCAGTTTAGTTTCTTGTCAGAACAACATCACTTTTTTTCACCTTAAAGTATTTGGGTTAAAATGAGCAATGTATCCTGCTCTTTAATCTGGATCTAGTAGTCTGTAGCAGTGCTCCACTTACACCCTCTCCTGGCTTTTGATTCATTGCTCATTAGGCACTTATTTTTAAAGTGAAAAGAAGAATTATGATGTTCTGGAAAGATAGCAGTTAGAAACTATGAAGTGCAGCAAAGTGAAGCTTAAGGCATCAGAGATGTCTATAGCAGCTTGGGCTAAGACAAACAAGGATGTGTTTAAGTACATTAGAAAAAAATTTAAGAGGTGTTGAAAATAATTCAGGAAGGTCAGAACATTTTCTGTTTGGTGAGTGGAAAAGTGGGATGAAAAACACTTTTTCTAGGAGGAGGATGAACTACAGACAGATGGTAACGAAGGAGGAAGTTCATCAGGGGGTATCCATCAAGAATGTCCATCAGGGATAAATATTTTAAAATATTGTACCCAAGAGATTAAAGAGCTGTCTGAGGAGATCATTGGCATCCTGATGTAAAGTTGCAATATGTCTTTGAATACTGGGGAAAACTGGAGAAGACTGAAAATGGCTAAGATTGTGCTGTTACACAAAAAGGAGCAAATGGGATGACCCCAAGTCATTCTAACTTGGTTAGCATGATTCCATTCCCCAGCAAAAGAATCAAAATGGCTAGAAGGGATTCAAAGAACTAAAGAGTATTTATTAATAGAACCAGTCAGCGTGGTTTTATGAAAAAGGCAACTTTTCAGACAAACCTGAAATCATTTGTTTTTGTTGAGATTTACAGGTTTGATCAATAAAGGTAACTGGGTCAATGCAAAGTACTTGACTTATTGCCACTTCTCAGTCTGACTTTAAAAACATTAGCACAATACAATCTCAATCGGGCACATGTTAAATGTGTTGAGAATTGGCTCACTGAAAGATCTCAAAGCAAATTGCAGAGGAATCACTGTTGAATGGAGGTTCCTCAGGTTCGTCCTGAGATTAATGCTATTCAGCATTTTGACGAGCGAACTGGCAGTAAATATGAAAACACTGCTGATAAAACTTTTCAGATGACACAGATTGGTGTAGTGGTGGATTAATGAGTAAGACGAGGCAGTCAAGCAGAGAGACCTGGATTGCTCGGTAAACGGAGCACGTTCAAATATGGTGTGTTTGAATGCATCCACATGCAAGGTCATGTATGTCCGAACAAAGGCAGCAGGCTGCACCTGCAGACTGGGAGGCTGTATCTTGGAAAACAGTGATATTGAAAAGGATTTCAAGGACATAGAAGGAAAAAAAACTCCACATGAGCTCTTCCAGACTTGGCCTATGTGGGGGCCGAGGGGGAATCGAGGATCAGGAGTCCTCGGGAACGCTAGCTGGGGTTGCAGCTGCAATCCCGTGATGGGAAGATGGGTACTCTCTATCACCGGAGCGGAATCAGGCACAGACGAGACACGTATCAATTGGAAAAACAGAGGTAGCTTTACTTACACTGTAGAGTCGTATACAGCGCAGGCAATCGTAGTTGCAACAATTCTACTCTCTAATCGGTAATCGAGGAGCTCTTGTAGACCGGGTAGCTCAGGTCTAACTCAGGCATGCAACACGGAGGATACGTCGCAAGGCTTCGCCGACGGGGAGTCGTTGCCAGGTGATCAAGCTGCCGGAGTTCCACTCCAGGGGGAATCGCGGAGTTCTCCAACTAGGGCGGAAACGCCCCTAACCTTTTATACGGCTAGCAAGCCAATTGCCAGCTGCCACGTGGGAATAATTTAACATCAGCCAATCGTGTTATGCAAATCTGCATTTCCTCGGCGGGAACTCTATCCACGCCGGAAATCTTCACCATGCCGAGACTTCCCCTGCCTTACCATGCCTTGTGCTAGAAAGTTCCACTGTGTCGAGGCACTAATTCAAATCAGCTCTGACAGCCTACATCTAAGTTTTTCTGGGAAAGCTAACCTCTTAGCTGTATGGGGCAGGAGGAACAAACCGGACAGTAGAGAGGAAGAAGAGAGGTGATCTTGACTGAGCATCAGGGCTAGAATACTGCCTGTAGTTCTGGTGCCCGCAGTTTTGGAAAGGAGCTACAAACAAGATGGGATGTTTAAGGGTTACAGTAGGGGTGTCAAAATCACCTGGGCCCCCAGGACCAGACCTGGGACTCCTTGCAGGCTGTATATAGCCTTGGGTGTGAGGGCTGCTGCAGTGGCCACCACCATGGCAGCAGCAACAGCAAGGGATCCAGTATTAGCAACAAGGGGGCCAGTAGAGGCAGTGAGCTTGAGGGAGTGAGTCCGGGGGTCTAGCAGCAACCTGAGCTTGCTGCCAATGGCCATGTCTAGTGAGGCTAAAGGGTCCCTGATTTCTGTGGTGGGCTGCACTTCCAGGGGCCCAGCAGTAGTCTGGCAGGGTGGAAAGAGGGGCTGTGCAGGCTGGATCTAGCCCATGGGTCACATGATTGACACCCCAGTGTTACAGCGAGCGATTTTTATTGAGCTACACCTGTTCAGTTCACCAGAACAAACCCTGTGAGGTGACTGGATGTGTGTGTCACTTTCTGCAGAGGAAATCCTGGATGGCAGGGCCTTTTCCACCCAAGAGAAAGGCATAAGCTAAGTGAACGACTGGAAGGCAATACCAGCCATTCTTGTTAGAAGCAAATGACTAATTTGTGAGTGAGGGTAATTTTAACCGTTACAACAGACAATCAAAGAAAGTGAAATGGAGAATCCCTCTCACTGTTTTCGAAGTCAGGACCAGATGTCTTCTGGGAGGCATGCTTTAGGCAAACTCAAGTGTATTGGGCTTAACATGTGGTAATACATTAATGACTTCTGATAAGCAAAGGTCAGACTAGATGATCTAATGGCCCCTTCTGCTCTTAATTTATGAAAATGTACGTATTTTCACATTTAATTTTGTTGCAATTAAGAGCATAAGCTGGAAGAGGCATCTCCTGCGTCATCTTTGTGCACTCATATCATATAATCCCATTTATATGTATGTGAAAGAAGATGGTTTAACCAGATGCAAAAAAGGGGTTGGACAATTTCTTGGCAGAAAGGTGCATCAGTAGCTATTGAGTATGGGAGTTCGGGCCACAGCCTCTGAACCAGAACTTCCTAGAACCTAAATGCTGGAGGCTTCAAGTGTCAGGAGCAGTGGGAAAAGACCTGGTCATATACCGTTTACTCTTCTTTCAGCAGCTGCTCTCTGCCACTGTGCAACACGGGTGGGATGCTGGGCAAGATGGACCTCTGGTCTGACCTGGTAAATGGCAGTTCTTATGTTCATACATTTACTAAGCTGCGCTTTCAGATCTGTTAGGTGTTTTATCTCCCACTACTCCTATTGCAGGCCTGTCCCAGAACCTGCTGTTCTGAAACTTATATTTTCCAACCTAAATTAATAGTCCATGTTCAATGAATTGTATATTCAATTATATTATTTATAATAATTAAATTGAAATTCCCTAGTGTAGCTGAAATTGAACCCAAAGCTTTGTACTGTTTTACTTGTACCAATATGCCTACATGGGTATGGCTTCCTGTTATGAATGTGGCTGTTCTAGCATAAAAGGCACAGTTTATATCTATTTAGGATTGTACGTATATAGCCACACGTAAGAAATGGCATCGTGAACCAGAAGTTACCAGTAGAAAATATCTGTTTAAACCAGGCAGACTTCTAGATTCAGATATAACACAGTGCTGTCATCTAAAGGCTGCTGAGTCAAGTGACTAAAATAACAGATTCAAGATGTGTGAAATAATCACTCATTTTCAGTGGCATGAGTAAACTTTATCAGACTGTTGAGTGTTTTAGTTTGCATTTTTTTTCTAGTGTGGTTTGATTCATTTGAAGGGAAAATGATGAAGGATTAAAATAGTTGAATAACCTTGCAAAAGCTATAGTTTTTTCATTCTTAATATAATTCGGAGGGAAGGAGTGAAATAGGAGGAATAGAAAGCATGTGGAAAGAGAGGCTCTGCACCCCACATCTACCATTGACTATGCATGCAGTTAAACTATTTTATCTCTTTTTCAAATGCCACTATCCTTTGCTAGTATATTTTTTTCCTGATGTTTTATGAAGTGAAGCACACAGGAAATGAAAATGGTAAGGGACAAAATCTATATAGAGGCATTTCAGCACTTTGAGAAAAGAAGATAAAAGGGAAAATGCCTGATAAAGTTCCATTTTACATTTATGACTTTTCATGTGTACCAGACATTTGAAACCTGTGTTTCACAAGAAAGATATTTGTTTGAGACTCTCAGGGAATGGACTGATTTTTTTAGCATGTATTCATGTGCCTTTTTTCCCTGGTATTTTTTGAGTCTGAAAATTCCAAGTGAAAGTGGGACAGAAAGGGTTGCAGTTTGCTCTGAGCTGGGCAGGGCGATCAGAGTTGCATAAATCACCTGAGCTGAAATGAAGTGGGAATTGGCCTGATTCTTACCTGGGTAATGAAATCTGCTGCACTCCCCCCACCCTAATCAAAAAGGTGTAAACTCTTTACAGGGGGAACAATAAAAGAAAAGACATCTAAACCAATCATAGACATTAACTTTGATGTAAGGCAGTTCAAAGTTTGGTGAAATTAATTCAAACTAACCAAGCCTAAGAGACAATCACTACTAACTGATTTGGGTGGAGCCACTTAGAAGTAGGCCTTGATTTAATAGCGGGGTGTTGACTCTTCTCAGAAGAGGTTGGAGGCTATATAAGCACAAATTAGATGGTCTGGCCAATAAATGGGTACATCTGTTCTCTCATTTTCCAGGAGCTGCTGCCTGATACAGATGTCTAGAAAAGATTTCAAAACAAGAGAGGTAAGTATATGCTCTACAGTTTTTATTATAGCAAAGGATTTGTCTAGACTCTGATTGACAAAGGTTTGTCTTTATCTTGACTTCAGCCACCTGAGGCCAGCTCTGGATTGTATTGCTGTGTCTGTACCAATGCAAACCTATAGCATGAACCAGATAAACCACAGTTTGCACTATAATCTAGCCTGGTTTCATGCAACCAGGGTTAAAATGCAACCAGTGCAGGTAGTAGTTTGGCCAGCTTGTTTTGCACAAGTTCATTTATTAGTGGTGGCTGGCTGCTACAGTTACCTAGTCTGGATAAGGCCTAAGAACATTAGCATAGCCTCTCAATTCTGATTTGAGTAATGCATTTTCGGTACAACCGACGTGTAATTTTTCATACTTGTTCTGCTGTGTTTTATCTTTGTAAACTTTGCACGCCCTCTCTGTATACTGTTGATACCGTTTTTCCAGGGAGTTCGCTGGTGGTATGCTGCTTTGAAACGGTGTTATTATTGCATTTTCTTATGTTTGACAAAGAGGAGAGTGTTTGTGTTGCAAGGGCTAAGGCATCTATTTGTTTCGAGATTAAGAAAAGGAAACTGTATTCCTGTGGTCAGGGCTTCAAAAGCATTCGTCTGGTGACTAAGCCCTTGCCTATGTTACGCAGTTCTGCCAGTAGAGCTATGTCATTTCAGTCCACAAAAAGATCATACCTTACAACCGATGTAGCTATACAGGCAGAGCCCCCAGGGTGGACACAGCCCTGGTAGCCAAAGACAGCCTACTGCCAGAGCCCTTGTCATTCAGGGGCTGTGGTACAGCTCTGGCAGCAGAAAAATTGCTTCTGCTGACAAACCTGTATCCACCCCTGGGAGCCTGTCTGTCTCAGTACTGTTGCTGCAGTGAAAGTAGCAATAGCCTTTGAAGTGCAGATGTAGCCTAAGTGGAAATCTGGCTCTAGCTAGTGCAGAGACTTATCCTCTTAAATTTTACAGAATGTCTGGTTATTTTCTTTATTTCTAACCCTGATGTAGATTGAGAGAACTCCCCACCTCCCATTGCCAAATGTGAAAGTGTTCACTGGTACAGGTTCCTTGCAATCAATGTCTTCCTATGGAGTTGTCATTTTGTGAAGGGCAGACCCACTCTCTGTGTCAGGCAGGAGGTGGGGCAGGGTGGCACTAAAGAGTGACTGGTTCAGAGAAGCATGAACCTTCATAGGCAACAACCAGTTTTTGTCTGATATTATCTTACAGGCTGTGGCTTCCAAAGTCTCATGCCTCTCTGAACCAGTCTTTAAGGTACCACGTGGCCTGGCATCAGAATAACCCCCACCCCCCTTCTCTCTGTTGTCCTTAACTCTGCCAGCAGCATCAGAGTGGAACTGACATGGGTCGGATGAGTTGTACTTGCTGGTCAGGGACCAGTGACACTTAGGAGGATTGTCATCTTCATTGCTTGCGTGGGGAAGGTTATGAGCAGCAAGCAGCAAAAGGAGGCATTGGAGTTCCCTACAGGAGAGGAAAATACAAATGTACCGAGTGCTGGAAAAGTAATGGAGACTCATTCCTGACACAAACCAGCTCTTACCTCCCAGCTGCTGGTGTTTAAAGGGGATGGGGGGTGGAGTTTGTGATTTCATAGAAGAGGTGGTGGACTCTCCATCCTTGGAGGTTTTTATGACCAGGCTAGACAAAGCCTTGCTTGTGATGATCTAGTTGGGAATGGGCCTGTTTTGAGCAGGGGGGTGGACTACATGACCTCCTGAGGTCCCTTCTGACCCTCATTTTCTGTGATTTGATGCTTGGTCTAAACACAACAGTGCCACCTTAACTAAAAGCATTAATTTTGGTGAACAGGAATAACTTCAGTATCTAAGATGTCTTATGAGAAATAACTTGTGTTTCATCCCTGGCCAGATCAGCCTTGTTGAGATCTCAGAGCCCTCCCTCAAAATGGAATTGGGGAGCAGGGAGTTGGGCTGCCTCTGGCCTTGCTCGATGGATTCCTGGCCTGCCTTCGCTTATTGTCATTCTGGTGCCCATGACCCTGGGCCTCCATTGGGCCAAGTGTTATATCACCAGAAAAATACCTTGAGCCTTGTTTGCTTCCAGCTGGTAGCCTTAGTCCTTAAGCTGCCTCCTGTCAAATTTTAAGATGTAGCTGTGAGGTAAACTGAGGCTGTAGATGAAGGAATAGGAGCGTGGGATTCATGAGGCAGGTAAAAGATGTCTGTGGCAGAATGGTTTAAGACTTGAAAAAGAAGAGTTACATCTGAATTAAAGTTTTCCACTAGTGCTGAGAGCTCCCAAGCCTGGCCTTACATGAGAGCTGGAGGTCTGCTGTTGAAAACTTCAGTGAAAATCCTTCTACCAATTTGCTTTTTAAGTTGTTCTTTTAGTGCTTACTAATAACCTCTGGCTACAGCATTTGAGCTAAGTACTTTGTTTTCTGGCATTCACATAAGTAAAGAATTGAGTTGTGCTGAGTTCAAAGTGTGAATCTTGTACAGTTAAGACTACAAAAGAAAGTAAAGTTCAAGCTGCCCCAGCTTTGCATGTGCAGTTTTGCACTGAGAGTAAATTGAAGTCCCAGTGTTTCGTCTTGAATGAATGAGGGACATAATAGATGACGGTATAAAACACTGCCTACAAAACCTGGGGCCCAGCTTAGCGAGCTGACCTAACAACGCAAAGGAAATGATAAAGCTCAAGTGAACTTGATCGCACTGTACATGAATAACATCCTTTTCTCTTTAATATCTATCTCAATTTGCAGTACTCATTTTGTTAAATTAATGCCATTGAACGCAAACAATATGCAGCTTGACAGAGTTAATGTTGCTGTGAGAACCTGTGGTCTAATGCTAGCACACTTATAGTGGAGTTCAGGCAGGGATGTATTTTTTTTTTCATCCTTTCTTCATTTCTTTAAACGTGTCCTACAATGTTAACTGTGCCATTCCTCTGTATTTATTTATACTAAAGTGCTAGTGGCAACCAGAGTTAACACTGTCATTGTAAGAGTCTGTTTCCGTTGCTCAGTTACCTTCTAAAACTTTGCCTTTAGGAAACCATAGAGAACCACAGAGGGCAGATGTACAGAAAATGGAGCACAGTTCCAATGAAGTCTTTTACAAAGGTGCACATTTTTGCTGCTGAACTGCACACCTTAACCTGGCTCCTAAAAGTTTCTGCAGTGGTAGCCATAGTACCCCTGGCAGCTCGTACATCAGTGTGTGCTCTTACCATTTGAGAAGATGTGGGATGGAGAGAGGTCATGGACCAAACCTCTTTGAAATGTGCATCCACAAAAGTGCTGCACTCTCTGGGGGCTTTGTCACATGTATACTTGGCTTATGTTAACTGCATTTGAAGTTAACCGAGCATTCAAGTAGTAAAACACATGCTAAATGCCATTACAGTGTAGCAAAGTTAGGACTTTTCCTGCAAGGACTATCTCCAGATTGTATTATCTAAAATGAATTGAGCTAAAGTTCAACAGTTCCATGGAAGTAATACAATCAGGAGGCTCCGATGCGATGCCAAGGCTAGAGTTAAAAAAAAGAGCATTTTGTTGGTCCCAGCCCTTGCAGCATACTGGACTCTTCAGCAGCTCTGGCACTTAGGATGTGATTTATTTAAAACATGGGATGCATTATCTTGCAACTGCTCAGAAAACTTTCTAACTCATAGTGCTGGTTACTGTAATCTAAATAAAACATGTCCTAAGTGCAACCTGTGACATGGCGCACTGGAACAATGCAGTGACTGCAAACAGTAGGACAAACAGTAAGTACCCCATGCAGCTTCCCCCCAAACAGTATGATTCCACACTGCCCCCTACTGAAGATTCTTTTATAATGCGTCTTGACAGACAAGAAGCAAAGCGAATGAATGCTGGGCATAATCTTAATGTTGGTGTTACTTGACTTTTTGGTACTTAACTGATCATTGCAGGTTTAGTTAGACCTCTAGTTAGAGCTCATGTCTGGCTTTTTAGATGTGAGTCCAGATTTTGGGAGGGGGAATGTGACGATGTTAAACAGAGTAGAATTTGCCCATTTTTCAACCAGCAGTAGGTAGAATTGCCAACTGAGTAGGAAATAAAATCTATTTGTGGAGTAAATGGAAGAAATCTGAACAATAAGAACTGTAAGGATTCTTTCTATTTAGGGACTTAGTAGAATAGCATGCTCAGAACCAGTGGTGCTCAACCTTTGGCCTGTGGCGGGGGGTGTATGGGCTGGATCAGTCCCTGGGGCCTGTTACTGCCCCTTCCCTGCACTGTGTGCTGGGTCTGGGTCCTGTAGGCCTGGCTCTGCCGCCTCTTCCCCCTCCATTCCCCTTTCCCTCCCCGCCCTCTCCCGCTGCACTCCAGGATTGGGTCCCTGGGACCCAGCACTGCTCCCAACCCTCACATCCTCCTTGGTGCCAGACTTGAATCTTGATGGCCTGCCACCAGCCCCTCCCAGCCCCCAGCTCGCCATCCAGTGTGGAGTCTGGACCCATGGGGAACCCTGCGGGTCAAGTGCTGTCAGGGTTGAGCTCTAAACCAGCGAGGGCTAACCTTTCTGGTAGGTAAGCCACCATTAGCCCTGCACCCTCCCCAAGTGCCACTCTGTTTCTGTTCCCTTACACCATCTGCTGCTCTGCTTTCTGTACCCCCTGACCAATCTACTGCTCTACTTGCTGCCCCATCTGCCACTGTGCTACCTGTCTCCTCCCCGATCTGTTGAATGCAGGGCTATCCCTAGGGGTGGGCAAGTGGGGCCGCTGTCCTGGGCCCTGCTCTTTGTGGGGCCCAGTGGCTGCCACATGCCACTGGCTCCACAGTCTGGACACTCACCCCTCCCTCCCCACTTGGCCCCACACAGGCTGATATGCCCCGGGCCATGCACACCCCTAGGGACGGATGGCTGCCTGTCTGTCACACACGGAAATGCTACTCATCCTGCAGGTTGGCCACCCCTGCTCTAAACAAAGAACAAGACCACCATTTTGCTTTGGTTGCTAAGAGTAGAATTCACTGTATAGTTTTGGATGTTTTGTTTAGCTAAATACATTTCAACTCTAATGCAGTAACCTCCAAACAATGTGGTCAGTTTAGCAATTAGAAATGTAGAGATAAAGCATTATATTTAGCTAAAACTTCATCTTTAAAAACACGTGTTCCCCTGTTCCATGACCCAGACAGAGATAGCCATCTAGCTAGGACTTCCTTTAGCATTTCATAATACGAAAGCATATTTTATTTTATATAGAGGTTTGATATGGAAATCTGGATCTAACTTGCACTGTTCTGTTGGCATAACTTTCGTGAGGATTAGAAAAGATCTTGCCTCTCAAATGTAGTAGCTAGAGGGCAAAACTCCCTTGTATGGACACAACTAAGTGGACAGAAGAGAGCTGCTGAGCCCAGATTTAGACACTCCAGTAATCTGAGATCCCACTCCAGTTTCAGTGGATCTTTAATGGGAGCTGGATTGGGTCTTAGGTGAGTCAGCACCTGGAAATGAGAAATGAAAAGTCCTTGGAAACAAATAAATGTTAAGTGGCAATATATTCTGTGGATGGAAGGAAAGGTAGTCAAAGCGGTGCAGAATCGTTCCAGGAAGACTTTTGCCTGCACAGGGCTTCTTTGTTGGCTGTCTGCACTTCTGTGCAAAAGGCTTGAGGCATGCTGGAGAGAGTGAGGGAGTAGCTAGTGATTCTGCAGCCAAACCATAATGGCCATGGAGCCGTTCTGCTGGGACTTGATCATTTGAATAAATAGAGAGAAGGATTTCTACTCTCTTCCCCCTCACCACCCCTCAAAACAGAGCAGCCATGAAAAAAAACAACACATTTATTGTGGCATCGTGCAGAAGTCAGGATTTCGTATTACAGAAGGGAATAGATGTTTTCAATTCTGTACAGCAGGAGTGGGAACCTGCAGCATGCTTGCCACAACTGGCATGGGCAGCCTGTGTGTGTGGCATGTGACAGATTGGGAAGGGAACAGGCAGCCCAGTGGAGAGGCACTCAGGAAGGGTGCAGGGCTTAATTTGTAGCACATACAGCAAAAACCTTGGTCCTCACTGCTGTAAAGGATTGTTAAAATTTAAAAAGAAAGTAATTAAAAGCATCTCTAGAAATGTAGGTTTCTAATTGTTCTACTGTTTTGTTTTTAAGCTAATTTTAAGTTAGCCACCTTTTTGGAGTGCCTAAAGTTAAGCTCCTAAATAAATGGCTTGATTATATATATTTTTTAAAACGAAGTTGGTGATTGTTACATGTTTAATACTTGTGAAAATTGGCTGTTTTATTTGGGTACTTTCAGGTTTTCAAAATCTAGGCTTTGTGATTCTGACACTGAACTTTCTTAGACCCCATCTAAAGCACAATGTATAGAGTTTTAATGCCACAGCCATTTTTAAAAAAAAATTTAAAAGTTTTTTTCACTACATTTCTGTTAAATATCAGTGGTCAAATGCTACTGCCCATTGTTTAGACTAAATATGACTGACAAAAAAAGGAAGGTCTGGGATAGTGAGGTTACCAAGTGGATGGTGCTGAGCAACTCTGTCGAAGGAACTCTAATGACCTTCAACCCGCCCTCCCCCCCTCAAAAAAAAACAAAGTCAGGAAAAGGTTAGCTAGCCCTTTTTAGACTAAACCCTTTTATCCTGTTTAATGAAGGGAAGCAACATCATAAAGCTAATCTGTAGCTGGAAATGTCAGTACCATTAATAATTTGTTTTCATAAAAAAACAAGACTGAATGAACCATGAAAAGTAAGTTAATGATAACCTGTTTTTTGTTTCCCATATAGGTTTTCTCAAGCTTTGGAAATAATAGAGCACTTGGCCACTAATACACCTGAAATCTGCATTCACACTTGAAAGGATCTGCTTTGGAGTCCATTGCGTTTCCTAATCCCAGAATTCTTTCCTGGGAGGGGGAGAAAAGGACTTTGTATGAGAGGAATCTAAGATGATAATGTGACACAGCGTACCCGGGAAGTCTGTTGAAGAAGAAGGACTCGTTCTTGTTAGGTGGCTTTCTCTTTTCTAAAAGACCACCTTAAAGTCAACAAACAAAATGCCAGCTAAGACCCCCATCTACCTGAAAGCTGCCAACAATAAGAAAGGAAAGAAATTCAGACTAAGGGATATCTTGTCCCCTGATATGATCAGTCCTCCACTTGGAGACTTTCGCCACACCATTCACATTGGAAAAGAGGGACAACATGATGTTTTTGGGGACATCTCCTTCCTGCAAGGAAATTATGAGCTGTTACCTGGGAATGAAGGAAAAACAAGAGTTGGCCAGTTTGGTGAATTCTTCAGGGCAAACAGCACCTCTGACTCCATGTTTACAGAAACTCCTTCACCAGTGCTCAAAAATGCTATTTCACTTCCTGCAATTGGTGGTTCTCAAGCCCTTATGTTGCCCTTACTGTCACCAGTGACATTCAGTTCAAAGCAAGACTCATTCAGGCCGTCAAGGAATCCTCGACTCAGTTGTGAGCCAGTAATGGAAGAAAAATTGCAGGAGCAAAGCAAACAGTCAGAGGACGGGGAAACATACAAGGATGCTGACGTGTGGGAGCAAAGTGGTTCTACATCACATTATACTAATGGCAGAGACAGTCATTCATCCAGCCTTTCTGAACGATGCACTGATTGGCAAACAGTTGATTTATTTGAAGACAGTCAGCTTTCGTGTGAACTAACCAAGATGGAGACCAAGTCTGAAGACTCCCTTTCAGATCTTGCAGGCTCTCTTCTTTCATTGCAACTTGACCTTGGACCTTCGCTTCTGGATGAGGTCCTCAATGTAATGGACAAAAATAAATTGTAGAACTGGTACCTTATTGTTTCTATATACAATGATTAATAAAAAAGAAACCATAACCGAAGAGTACTGAAGAATAAATATATTAAAATATCAGCTGTATTTGCAGTTGTTTGACGGGTTTTCTAAAAATATTCGTAAAATACTATTTTTTTACCTATTGTTTTTCATGATTTTTACTACAGGAAGAGGATAAATTTTAATGAAAAAATTTCAGCAAACATGAAATGTTTTCAAGGACCAGTATTAGCTGTCAAAACTTAAGGAATATACTTTGGGGATACTACAACTTGTGACCATTAGTTTAGTTCACTTTTAGGAGCTTTTGAGCATTGAAGAATCTGTAAGCATTAGACAGGAGATTTTTAAGGTAAAGAATAAATAATTCAACATTACTTTACATGTAGGCCTCTCTTTAGTATCTTAAGCTGTCTTTAGATCCATTTTCTGTTTTCGCTGCACTGTAACTAGCTCTTCAGTGTTAAACTATTGCTTTGTGTTCAAATGTGGACAACTCGAGGGTTTTCTTTTCAAATATATTTGGCCAGATTCTCAGCTGCTATAAATCAGCATATACCTATTTACACCTAATTGAGGACTTGGCCCTGTAGCTATATATGAAATCATAAACCATCCGTTGCAAACAGGTAACACAAGCAAAACATAACTGTTAAATTATTTTGAAAGTTAAAATATATATTTTGTGCATAGTTTGGCGCTTTACTGCAGAGTCTACATTTACAGATACAGTATCTCATTGAAATAGTTGCTTGACTTTATTGGAGATCCTCTTAAAATTGTATATTTGTGTGTTTTGATAACAATATGTATTTATACTTCTCGCTTTTTTTCCTTCAATTATTGCCACAAATGCTTAAACTTGCAACTGATTTTTTTTTAAATACCTTTAAAAAGAAGGCACTGGTTATTCACAATGCTTGTGTTGCATGCTGCAACATCCAATATTTTGGAAAGTGTGACTCCTTTACAGTAAAGACATGAACTGCATAGATATGTTGTGCAATACAATAAAAAATAAATGTTTAAATTGCAGTGTCTTTTGTGATTAAGTATACAACTCTGAGTTGAAATTCTGGTTCTGACTCTCCATTGTGTTAGACCAGCTGTACGCTGTGGTGGAGTTATGCTATTATAAGATGAGTAATGCAGCAGAGTCAGCTTGATTACATGTCTTTGTTTTTAACTTTAGAGACGGAAGTTAGTTAATTTAAATAAGAATGTTGGTTATTTCTTGGCTAACTACAAAAAGATAGTTGAAAGGTCTATGTAGTGAGCTGTGACATACAGGCTGAAATCTTGACTTTCTGCTTGGGAGAGGGTGGAAAATGAAATTTGGAATAAAGGTGTTACGTTTCAAAACTTCCAGAACAGAAACAATTTGCGCTGCTTTTCCTGCCCAGAAACTCTTTCC